TGAGAGCCAGAAGCAAACAATTCAGGCTCGCGATGACAGCATCAAGAAACTCCTTGAACTTCTCCAATCCAAAGGGATCAGTAAGTCCTTGAAATAAACTATTCCATTTGAAAATTTTTTAAATTTGGGACTCGAGCTTTATTAAAAGAAAACAAATCTCTTCTTCAATTATTTAAAGGTTTGTAGCAACTCATTTTGGCAAACTTAATTCAAATACTGTGCATGTCTTTTTTAAAAGCAATTGTACTCATTTATTCAACCAGCATAGCTTCCATTTTGGCATCACGATTAACAAACAGTCCTTTAATTCGTTTCAACACCAACATATTTGGTTGAACTTCTGATTGTTGAGGTCCAATCAAAGCAACGGATCTGGAGGTCATGCATCAACATTTTTATTTTTACATAGAAAAATGAAAGCACGTAAAAACAGACGGAGATCGATGGCTTAATTTGGAAAGGTAACGGATGCAATGGATTCGAAATCTTCAGGGATTTCATTCGCTTCAGACTTAATATCAACGCACTTGTACTAGGACACAGCATTCAAACTTTTATTTTGAAAATATTTTCAAATATTTGGACAAGGGAACGCTTCTGTTCCATTAAAGCACTAATTTTTTTAAACTGATTTCTTCAACATTTTTGAGGCAGTTCCAGGACAATCAAAAAGTCCTGTTCAAATTCGAAACTTCTAAAAATATCAAAAAGTCAAAATAAATGACCTCAAACGTAAAAAAATATTGGAAAAGGAGTGGAGCTCATATTGACATAGAAGAAATGTTAATAACTAACAAATTAAAATTTTATTTTTATTTATGTATATTCAGCAGGAAAATAATCGAAACTGAATAAAGTAAATGAGGTTCCCCCTCCCTCAAATTTTACGAATTTTTTAAAATAATTTTTCTTTTGCAGGCAAGGAGGAGGAGCGTCAAGCATTGGCCCACATGCAGCAGGTTTACCAGAAGCAGGTGATGTTTTCAATTGAAACAGAATTCCCTCATCAGAAAAAAAACAGAAGTTCGCATTGCTCATTACCATCTATGATGTGGTCTTTGTCCATCAGATGGATGAAATGCGACAGGAAGTGCAGAAGCGAGACCAGGAAATCCTGGCGCTGTCTGCCAAGTCCAAACTGCCAAGTCCAAGGCGTTGGAGGACCAGAACCACGACTTCCAGCACCACATCGGGCTCCTCAAAGAGGGTCTCATCCGGAAGGAAGAGCATCAGGGAATGGTACATACCAAAGTGCTGCAACTTCCGCAAAAAAAAAATGTGAAAACGGAAAAAAATATCTTCAACGAATGACTATATATACGCAGTTTTTTTTTCTTCGGTAGCTGTTAAACATTCAGTCGGAGTTAATGGAAAACCTCACATTTCTATGCGTAGGCTGCAAAAAGCTCATGAGCTCTTTTCGGAAGTACGGTTTTTATTTTCTTGGAAACATTCTTTTTTAGTGTTACTCAGGGAAACCGATGAGGCAAAACACTGTCTTACTACACTTGGTGATTTCACAAGAAAAAACGTATACACTAGAATCATGTTTAATCGGGGCCTTAAAAAAAGCTTCATTATGAAAAAAAAATCGTTAAAAATGAATTAAAATAACATTTTGGCTGTAGGAAAGGGTCTAGGAAAAACCGTTGAAAGCATTATTTCGTTATAACGAAACTTTTGTAACGAGATTCTGCTGTACTACGTTTTCTAAAATGTGATCCTGTGTCTTGTGTTAACATTTTCCTTGAAAATGGTCTACACAGGGCTCATAATGAAGAAAAGTCTTGAATTGAGAGAAATATTAAAGGGATTCCCGAAGAGAGATTGCAAAATTTGCTTTTTTGTAATATGACGGGTGGGGAAAATCGCTTCATGGAATCATTCTTGAAAATGAGTGGCATGATAATTTGTTTCATTTATAAGATTACTTCAGAAAAACGAGGAATGCGATTTGAATGTTGATCATTTTTCTCAGCGTAAAAAAAAGGAATCCACCTTTTTTCTCAGCATAATTTTTCCGCTACACGATCAAGCTCTGAATTTGGAACTGTGTTTATAAATGCGGTAGCTTCGGAATTTTTTCAAGTAGAATGTCACCTTTTCAAGGAAACACGGTAGTTATTGAAGCTTTATACGGAACAACCGACCGACGAACTCATTTTCCCGAACACCCACGATATAATTTCGAACTGAGTTGTACAGTACTCGTATAAGAAAGATTTACCTAAGGATTTCAATTGATTTCAGGCCGAGGACCTTCGAGACAGGCTGGAAGAGAAGAACAAGGTGATAGAGAAGAAAACGCAAATCGCATTACAGGCAACTCAAGAGAAGAACAGGATCACTACTGAATTGAACGAGATGCGGGACCACATTGAAATCAAGGACCGCAAAATCA